TCATGTTTTCTAAGATCAAACAAGCTTGAATTTTTTCCAGTGCATTAAAAAAAACAATAAAAAGTTCACCTTTCTACTAAAATAAGACCGTCGAAAACAAGACAATTTCATTGGTTTCTTGCGAATTTTCATGCACGAAATGTATTTCAAAGCTTCCAGAAGACTTCAAGAGACTTCATCAGACTTTATGAGACTTTATGAGGATTCATAAGACTTCAAGAGACTTCATAAGACTTCGAAAGACTTTCAAGACTTCATGAGACTTCAGTCGTGAAGTCTCCGCTGTTTCCCCCTTGGTCATTTATTAAAACTGCACGATATTAATTTAATTCCATAATATACATGCATAGCACAGGAAAAGTAATATATATTTATACATTTTTTATAAAAAAAACTCCAGAATGTAAAATACAATAAAAAAATAAAGAAACTTCAATGCTAAGAAAAAAACGACACGAAAAAGACAAAATAATGTTGCTATTATAAGTTTAACTAAGGTGAGAGTAATTCAACAATCTGGTAGCATTTGTTCTTTTATATTTTCACACGGTTCAGCAGATTTTGTCCTTTTCATGTCATTTTCTTCTTGACATAAAAGTTTTCTTTTTATTGTTTTTTTGTATTCTACGTTTTTTCATATTAAAAAGGTGCATATAAATATATACTACTTACCATGTACTACATGTAAATATTACGAAACAGAATTGATATGGTGCAACTTTAATACACAACTCGAAGTAGAAAAGTGTTGCGAGACTATTCACGTCGACTGTATCTTACCAATAACGTTTTCAATACTAAAGCGTATTGATCGTTTGAGCTCATTAATGCAGGCTGTAAATGTCCACATGCTTTGTTCACTACTTGTATACACTCCAACACCATCAATGTTACATGTCAGTGATATGAAATTCGGCACTCGCTCATCCTTCAATGAACGTAAAATATTTGTGTATACATTTCCATGTTGAATGTCTGTCATCGATATTATAGAATCTCTAGACTTTGTAGGAAAATGAAGATCATTTTGATTAATCGACCTTAAAACTTGATCAATTTGATGTCGAATATTCATTATTATACATGTATGAGGTGGTATCAATGCATTGGTCTTGTACGCACAATACTGATTAGTGCATTTTTCTGAACTATTAGATTCATGTTCACATTCAGGACAAAAGTAATATGTTGAATCAATCACTTGTTGCTTTTCTATAGATTTGGTTTCTGATCTGTTGATGATCTGTTTTAATTTGTACCAAGACGATGGAACATTTGGTACTTTCAGTACCGCTAACAATTTTGACAAATTGATTATACGACTATTTTTACATTTATGTTTTTTTTAATCATTAGTAAAACCACTGAAACACCCTAAACAAGAGGATAATCACCACAAACCCGAGATGAATAGCATCATAATTACAACTCAAGTAAGTAAATAATCAGCAAAATAAGAGCAGATATATGATAGGAATCTATTACTCACTAATTCATTGTACTCATGAATAGGAAGTGTAGATTCATCCATATTGAAAAATTCATTTCTGATTTTTATTTGTTGTTCACTTAAATTTTCTTCAATTTCCTCTTCTATAATATCTTCACTTTCATCTTCACCATCTCGAATAACGTCTTCTTCGTCGACGTCAACAAAATATTCATTCTCAAAGTCAATATCAGAAGCAAAACTATCGACATCTTCATCATTTGCATCGTTTGGTTTTTCTTCAATAGACATATAAGAAAACATATCATTTACGTTCAAGCTTCTTAATTCACCACTGCCGACATTCGGCTTTTTTAACCTCTTAAGATTCACCTTATTCTTCATTCTCCTGGTTGATATTTCATGTTTATGTGCTGACCAATGTGCATGATTCTTCCTTCTAATAGTTTCTTGCTTTTGTGTAAAAATAACTTTTGGTCTCATCTAAATATAACACAATAAACATAATATTTCCACATAAATGAACACCAAATTTATTTATTCCTGTTCATAGATTCAAAGAAAAATAAACAAGTCATTTTCTCTTTTACTTATCGTTAAATAACAACCACGGCATCGCCCTAGTCAAGAAATATGTTTTCAATGAACTGCGCTCGTCTCAAGTAAAATGGCGAATTTCAAAATCACAGTAGATCTCGATGATGCTGAATTCAAATTTGCGTCAAAACTAACATGGTTAAAGAATTTCTTCTCAAGAAATGATATATGACGACGCGATTGCCACCATAAAGACCGCAGTTTGTTAAAACGCTACTAACCGCGATAAAGGATACTGGGATTACAGTGATATTCACCGCGGTTTCCGGAAACATGACTAAACGCGATATACAATACCGCGGTTACATTGATATTCACCGCGGTTTATCAAACCACGAGTAGCCCCACTATGTGATCACATGCACTTGTCAATCCCTTCCATTTTGAAAATGTCAAGTTCAGTGTGCTAGTAGAGTCATAATATTTTTTTAAACTTGTCTATGTTTAATATATTTCGAAATTCATCTTTATTTTTATGGTATTGACTTTACATGGAAAGAAAGACATGTACATAATCAAAATAGTTCATGTTCACATAAAGGAAAGAAAAACAAAAACTGAAATGATAATCTATAAAGAACAACTACTGTAACAAAATATTTTCACTTCGCTTTATTTGCACTGCATCAGTCGGTTTGAAAATTGTCACCATCATTTGTTTCATTCATATTTTCAAAATTTTCAGAATCTTTATCATTATCATTTGTTGTAAAAGATTCTTCATGTCTTTTTCTTTTAACAGAACGTTCATTGCGTAAGCACCTGACAAGACTAACATGAATCGTTTTAAGATTCACTTGAAGCGGACCATAGAAACGTTCCATAAAGCCTAAAAATAAAAATACTTTCGATTTTGTAAGATTATGAGGAGTTATTATTTTACTTACTGATCAAAATTTTTTCTTTTAATAATACATCATTTGGCAAATACTCCCAACGTTTAACATTTCGACTTTTTTCAGGAACCATCATGTTAAACAATTTCCGAGCGATACTTGTAATTCCATATTTTGAGTTTAGTATTTCATTCAATTGACATTGGTTCACTCCCAAAGGTGTGCATCTGTTAATAAATTCTCATTGTACTTATATAAAGTAGTTTGTTGTCGGATTTTATCCGACATAAGAAAAATGTACTGTTGAGTACTTGGATCAGATGGCATTTCTAGAAAAAAAATATATATATATTAAGGCCCCCCCCCCCCGCCAACACCCCATTTGACCTAGCGAAGGCCCCAGTCACTGCATAAAGAGCC